AGGCACCTGGGGAGGAAGAGGCACTTCCTCCACAGGCCTCGGCCCCTTCCTTTCCTGCTTCCAAATGCATCTCCCCACATGGTTCATTCTCAGGACCGCCCAGTCTGGGGGGGGGTCAAAAGCAGCCCCAATATTGTAAAGGCAATTCCTCATCAATCAGCAGGGGCTGGGCCAGCTCCTTTAAAGCCCAGCGGAGCAGGCCCTAAACAAACCCTGAGAGGAGGAGCTCCGCGCTTGGTTAATGCTCACAGCTCATCAGAATGCACCGGAGGAGAGCGCGGCACCCATGACTGTAAACTCCAGTAATATTTTCTATAATAAATGTGAGGAGTTCACAGTTGCTGCCATCCCTCCTCCGCTCGCACAGTGGAAACGCCAGCTGCCGAGAAGCTGTTTCCCGTAATTGTCTAATTACCAAGTAACGCTACCAAAGAAAATGTATGTATTTGTGGTTTGTTTTTCTCCCTTTGGTTTCAGGTGTTCCATCTTCTCTCTCACTATGAGCCTCCCACTGAGACTGATTCACTGCTGCCTGGACACCAGGCCCCTTGAGGTCATTAAAAAGTCGTTACCATCCTGGGTGCAAAGTCTGTGCCTCTGAAAGCAGTTTTCTGGAAACAGCATAAGAAAAATCACTCTCTTTGTGAACATGCTGTCACTCATACGTGAAAGTGATGCCATCTGACCAGCCCCGGAGCTGGCACTCTCGGCCCATTTTCTTGGTGGGCGACTGTTTTGCACCCAGACCCACATGGTTCTCCTGGGGAGTCTGGGGGGTGGGATGCAGCCCATGGGCTGGGGCAGGCCTGCGAGGGAGGCCCTGTGGGGCTTCAGCACTGGGCCTGGGCTCCCACGGGCCTAGCTGTCACTCCTGAGCTAAGCCGTGTAACTACCGACAGACTGGCATCCTTCCTCCGGCAGGGCAGGGGAAGCGAGGGGTCCACACTGCAAGGGGCATCAGAATCCCATCCCCACTCTAAAGGCAGCTACAGCACATACCAAAGCTGGTCCACCGTCTGCTTCTCAGACTACCCTTCCAGGAAAGGGAAACAGAACTAGGACAAGTGACAACAGCCAGTGACACCTATTAGGCTCAAGTCAGTTTCACAAAAGGGACTGGGGTGGGAGGGGGTGGGAGTGGAGCAGGAGGTAAAGGTTTTGTTCTTCTTAGCTTTCTAGCCCTATACCTATCAAAAAAATCTTCAAGTGCTTCTGGACATAAAGGTAAAACTTGTTATCTGTGAGCTCACGGTCCTCAATAACATACTCACTGCTCTGAGAGTGTAGGCAGGCCCAGAATCACGCCTCCTGGGCCCAACCCCTCCTCCCTCCACAATGAAGTTACAGAGGCCCGAGGCAGTGCAGGAGGTGAGGTCTGGCTATGAGTGGCCCCAGGCAGAGCCGGGCCTGAACCCGGGTGTCCCTTCTCTCACTTGCTGCTCCTCTCGCCATCTCCCCCTCCGCTCTTCTCTCCCTACACTGGGCTCCCACGATGGGCTCAGGGCTCTGGCACCGCTGCCCCCTACTTCTGCTTGGGGAAGCAGGGTTGACAGGACAGCAGCCTGAGCAGGAGAGAGCATTTGTGGAGTAATAAGGTCAGAAGGCCTCAATTTAATACCAATCCTCCATGACATTGCATGAATATCTAATCACATTAGAGTTCATTTTCACCAACACAGCCTGCGAGTTAAATAGATGATTTCATTTTCAGCAAAACTGGATACCAACCCCAAGACCAAAGTGTCAGTAGGAAGGGAAGTTGGTCAGCATGAGGTCATGAGCAGATATCTCTCCCTCCCCAAATATCAGATTCCATTTCCCCTCAACTTCTTCAGAACAACTTTAAATGCTGCTTGATGGGGAAATAAGGTGGCACTGGAACGGTCATTGTCACGTCAGAGGCACATTTGCAAGTGCTGTGCGACCTCGAAGGAGGCTGCCTCAGCTGAGATTTCACAGGGCCAGGAAACAGCCACCATCACTTAGTCTACACAACAGCTCGACTGCCATTTTTATTGAGCTTTATTGAGAGCTGTATAAATACTCCTGCTGGCCAAGAAACCTGAATCTCTTCTTTAGTAGGCAACACTCCCAGGAAGACGACAGAGCCTCAGGGCATGGCACCCACTTAGGTCAAAGCCAGGACTGGGTCTGGGAGGAGGTGTCTGCACAGGAGCAACGGGTGTCAAAAAATACATGTGGTCTTTGCTTGGAGAGCTTACCCCTCAAAAACAGAAAAACCCACACAGGACTGAAGTCCCAACCCTGCACTCACTGGCTCCCCAGCGGAGAAATCCCTCCCCTGTCCTGGGCTGTAGTTTCCTCATTTGTCCAACGCTGAGAGAAATAATACCACTCCCCTGGCTACAGAAACGCATCTGGAATGAGGTTCCAATTACGTGAAACTGTAAATACGTATCTATACACACATGCATTCAGAGAGAGATGTCTGTTAGAATGTTTGCCAAAATGTTGATCAAGATCTTACCTTTGGATGGGAGAATTTCAAGAAACATTTATTTATTGTATTTTTGTACCTTTCTACACTGTTTGAATTTAATAGAATGTACAAGTAAGCATTAAAAAAAAGGACTTGTCCTGCCTACTGCCCAAGGTTTTTAATACAGATCACATGACAGGAAGCAAAATGCCAGCACTGTAGTATTATGCAAAATACTCCCAGTAGAGAGGATCACTGGGGTGACAGTCAAGTCCGCAGGTTCTGATCCCGGCCTTTCGTGGGCTGGAGGTAGTGTGCCACAGTGGCTGACAGCATGGGCTCTGGAGCCAGGCTGCCTGTTTCAATCTCAGTTTTGCACTTTTACCAGTGCTGTGACCTTAGGCAAGCTGCTTAACCTCTCTGGGCTTCAGTCTCCTCATCTGTAAAATGAGGATAATAAAAATGTCTAAACTGTTTTGCTGAAGATTAAATACATTAACAAATGTAAAACATCTAGAACAGAGCTGGAATATAGCAGGCGCTAAAAAAAGTAGCTGATACTGTTATTACTACTATAATTACCATTCAGCCAAATGAGCCTGGACAAGACCCACTGCTTCCCTGGGCCTCAGGTTTGACAGTGTATGATTTAATGACTACTGCAGAGGTTCCCAGAGCACCCAAGGCCCTCCCGTCAGCGCCCATTTCTTGGAGGCAGACAAGGTGGCTGGGCTTTGGAGGAAATGAATGTCTTTGTTGAATACACTCTGGAGCTTGGCACCTGCTGAGTGTCATGGGGGATCCAAGCAAGACGTAGTGCTTGCTCTTAGACGTTTATAACCTCTCTGGGGAGATCAGCTATCCTTCCACAAACTAATTAGAGAACAATGCAAACAGCACAGTGGTCCCAACTCAGAAACTGGTGGTGTTCCAAAACTTCCCTTGTAATTGGTTGTTTGAAGCTTGGAGGCAATTTTTCCCGCAGAAATAAAGCTATAAATTTTGATTGGGTTCCCAGGCCCACCCATAAAACTCAATTTAACCCATAATGAGGCTAAAATACTGTGTATATATAAAGCTAAAAAAAGGAAGAAAAAAACGATGTTGTTGCCACAGTATTTATTAAACAAGCTTAAAACAATCTCTTTAAAGCTGGTGCTTGAGGAATGAGGATTAAATACTGTAATGCACATAAACATGGGGATGTAGGTAGAATATGGCAGGCAGTCTGTTGATAAGGAGAGTGAGAAAGTGGGCCACGACCTATCCTCCTAAAAGCCTCCCATCTGCAGACCCCTGTGTGGTTCACAAAGTGCTTCACCACCATGATCTGTTCACCTGGTTCCCAACACAATCTGTAGGCAGGGAAGCAGCTAGTGGGAACCCCATTTCAGAGGTGAGGACATTGAGGCAGGAAGAGAAGACAAGAGATTTGCCAACATCCCAGAGCCGCCAGGTGTAGAGTCAACAACAGAAGGCAGATTTAATGACTGTTGGTTTGTGTTCTTTCCAAAAGTGGCACAAGGAGGAAATTTCCAATAACTGAGAGGCTGGGGCACTGACTATTCACTGTCACCTGGGTCCCTGATATTACTGACACCTCACTTATGCACTAGTGTCACAACTCTGGGCTGGAGATCACACACGAGTGGATCACAAGCTGACCTCAGGCAAATGACAGTCCCTGGAAGCCTCCGTTTCCTGTGTGAAATGGGGGTGATAACAGTACATACTTACTGTTTAGGGTTGTGAGGACCCCGTGAGCAAACAGAAAGTGCTCAGCACGTGGTAAAAGCACAGTAACTGTGGCCTACGACTCTCACATCTTTACACGCACACACGCGGAAACCAGAGGAGAGCAGAGGCTC